ATGATAGAGGTAGGCACCCTTATTGTTTAATAATTAATATTTTGTCTTTGACATTGCTGCCCCAACTCATTTTTCTTCTCATTATTTTTTTTTAATTTATTGATCCGTAGATGACATGAAAAGTATATTAAATGTCTGTCATATGGTCAACCCTGCAGACCTAAATATGTATTCTTGACCTTTGACATGTCAGAAGCTTCGTGTAAATTTCGTGTTCCTGTAAATTTCGTGTTGGTCCCTGTTTATATATTAATGCATTTGGACATAAATATGAACTTACTCTTCATTTCCATAATATAATATAATATAAGGCTTAGGTTAATCATTTCACATACTAGGAAATGAAATGAAAGTTTAATAATTAAATATGTCTTAAAATGATAAAATTTTTCTATTTATCCCTAAAAAAATAATGAAGTTGTTTTTAATGTTACATTTTTATTATCTCTCATTTCTCTTCTATATTTAATAGGGATAAAGTGAAAAAATCACATTAATTATCCTAATAACGTTTTATATTTTGGACCACAATTTTCTTTTAACCAATGTCTTATATTATAGACATGAGGGAGTATCTATATAAGATTCACACTACCTCCTCTTCTTCTTAATATAAGAGTTGAATTACTAATTTGTAAATATTAAAAAAATTAGTTAAGTTAATTATTTATAATAGATCATATTGTTTTTCTTAAAATATCTTTATGATTCATTTACACTTGAATGACCCCTTGCTAATAACTCCTTAACATAGTATCACTAGGGATTATATTTAAGAGCAAAATGAATAAATATTAGAGAGAAAATAGATTGAATCTTATATTTAAGATTAAATTAAATCTTTAACTAGTTTTTTATATGTAGTATAATTGTACTTGTTTTTCCCCTTCTTTAAAATTTCCATCCACTAATTCATCCGAGCGATGCTTTTTCTCCTATATGCTTCATCTGCTTTGCATCAAAGGGCCCTTTGATTTAGTTTTAAATGTATACCGGGGAACGATTTTTTTTTTTTTACCACACCAAATTTCAATTTAGTTTTAGATGCAAATATTAAAACTTGGTTTTGACCACAGCAAAAATTTATATCTTGTTCTGATGACAAGCATTTAATACAGCTTTTTTTTTAAAAAAAAAAAACTCTTTTGATTTTGTTTATAAGGCATTTCAAGCATACTTTGCACAAGAAAAAAAATCTTAAACTGTATTAAATCTTTATTGAAATATAATAAATTTTCAACTTTTCTCTTATTTAACATATACACCTTTAAAAAAAATATTTACACTGTAATAAATAAGGACAAAATAGTCCATTTATGTTAAAAATTTAACGAGGTGACTTATAAATAAGATTAAGAAAAACTTTCTCTCTCATAATTTCTCTATTTTATCTCTAACAAGTTTATTGTTTCTAACAACATTCTCCTCCAAAGAACTATAAATATCACCACATTTTAAGTTAATAGGTATCAGACTAGCACTTTCATTGATTCTACGTTCATTGTTTTATCTATTATGTCAAAAAGTTCTCTTAGTTTTTTCCTCGTAACTTCAAAGTGGTTTCTACTCCATGTGAGAGATCTGATCTTTTGATCACTGTTATTCAATTTCATCTGAGAGTTCCTAAGGTGTTGTAATCTTGAAAGAGATTGATAGTATTGCAATCTGGAGTTTAAAGTGAAAGACTTGAAATTAAGTCTTGAGATTGTGGTGATATACAAGTGCCCAATTTAATCTCAGAAGGTTTCTGTAGATTGGAAGTAGGTTTAAGGAAAGAGTTAAATCAGGATAAATCTTTGCTTGCATAATATCTTCTCTAATCTCTTTACATTTCTAGGATACTTACCTTATACTTTGTTCTTCCAAATTGCTTCGGCTGTCAATTGTTTTATTAAGTTTTCAAGTTTGCAAATTTATTTGTCACTTTGCTCACCTTGTCATAGGTGCCAGCGTATATTAACATTTGATTTTCTAGCCTTATACTATCTTCTGTATTTTATATAAAAACTAGTTTGATGTTTAATTTGGTCATCAATATAAGATTTCAATTCACCTTCTCTAATATTTGCCTATTTTTTTCTTAAGTAATTTCTATAGTAGTTGCACGTGTTAAGGTAGGGCTGAGCAAGCAACCCATAGCCCGGCTGCCCGCCCGCAACCCGTGAAAACTGGGCCCATTTGAGCCCGCCCAAAAAAAAATATAAACGAGCGGGCTTAAATGGGCGGGTTTAAGTATTAAATGGGCCGGCTACGGGCAGAGGCACGAGCTGCCCGTACCCACCCGTTTAGACTTTTATTTTTTTCCTTGAAAAATTTAAAAAAAAGAAGAGGGATCTGACTTGTGAATTGATTAAGTATTAAATGGGCGGGCTATGTTAAGGAGTTAATAATTACATATGATTAATAAGGATATTTTACAAAAGATAAAATCTATTTACTACAAATAACTAAATTTCTTAATCTCCCTAAATTAATCAACTAAGTCTTATATTTAAGTATTGGAGGTAGTAGAATATTTTAAGTTGCCCCTTATTTTTTAAAAAAAATTAAACTTTTCAGTCCCCTCACCTTAATACGATTAGTTTCAAATAATGATTTTTTTACCAATTATTATTGTTTTGAAAATTAAACTTAATACTCCATCCCCTTCTTAATATAAGAGCTAGTTTACTAATTTGAATAGATTAAAAAAAATTAGTTAAGCTGGTTATTTATAATAAATGGGTATTATCTTCGTTAAAACATCTTTATTAATCATGTGTATTGGTTAGAACTAACATCTGATGAAACATTTAACATGTGTAACTACTACAAGAACTATTTTAACAAAAAAATAAATAAATATGATAAATAAAGTAGATTAAGATTTTATACTTAGGATCAAATTAAATGCTAAATTAACTCTTATATTAAGAAATGAAAGTAGTATGTCACTCTTTGAAAATATTTTGTCAATGTTTAAAATTTTAGTGTCAGAATTTTTGTTAATAGCATTGAAGTTAAAGAGCTAAAAAGACAGTCAAAAAATTAAGAAACCAAACTAAATTCTATATAAAATTAAATAATTAAAAGCACATTTTTACAGTTTATAATTTGATCCATTAATAATTGAAAAAGGTGCAGGCCACCAATTGGATTTTAAAGCGACGAGGTCTAAAATAGTGTGGTCGCTTATTTGCCTTTTGATATGCTGACTATGAAATGAACGATGTCAAATCCTTCCTAAAGAAGCAAATAAAAATAATTTTTTTAAAAAAGAAGTTTCACCCCAAAATATTTAAAAAGCAAATCGATACCAATCTTTTCCCTGTCTTTCACCTCAGTTATCAAAATATTGCGCATGGCATAAAGTAAGTGAGACTGAGCATGACATGTCATGGCTGCATTTATCTTCTCTTTTTTGTTTCTTTTGAAAAAAAACTTCTAGAATGCATTCTGTACATTATATGAAAAGCTTTCTCTTATCAGAAATATTTCTACTTAAGGCACAATTAGAAGCTCTCTCTTATTAGAAAAAAATTTCTATTTTAAGGCACAATTATTAGATTTTAAATCTGAACATTTAAATGAGAATTTGAACCTCAACTCTAACCAAGACTAGATTGTTATCACTAGATTTAATTCTTGTTAGTTATGAAAGACTTTCTTTAGAAAAGCTAATTAGTCATATGCTAAAGAGAATAAAAATAAAAAAGTAGCACTCTAATTCACCAAAAGATAGCACTTTATATACTTGTACTCTAATTGTGTTTTTTTAGTCTCTATAGTTTATTTTCTTGGTTTCCCATCCATTTAATTTGCTCAAATTGCAACATTGCTCCTTTTATTTTGAAAAATACCTAGGAGGACCAAGCGTTGGCCCCGACAGTTTTAATTTAATTGACATGAACTTGACACTATTAAATCTGTCATATGACTACTTGGAGAAAAATATTAAATCACCTAATTAAAAATTTGATTTGAATGACAAACATGAAAAAAAAGACCACGACAACAACAATGCACAAGAGAATGGGTGAGGGGCATTGTAGAAGCATTAGGGTATTGATCTCAATGAAATTAACTAATAGGGTGTGGATCAGTTGATTGTAGTTTTAAAGTGAAGAGACTAATGTTTTAAATAGATCAAATATAATGGGATTGAGTCTACTAAAAGAAATTAGTCTCTCACAGCATAATAAATTAAGATTTAAATTCTCATTACCCACATTTAGTATCAATAGTGCCTGGAATAGAATTACATTTGATAGGAAGATATTTGTGCTTATAAAAAAAAAGGACGAAAAACCACAAAATTAAAGTATAGAGATTAAAAACAAAACACGAGTAAAGTAAAAGCATGTGTAATACTACTTCCGGTTCTTGATATAAAACTTCATTTCACTTTTGTTTTAGTTCTAAATATAAAAGCTCAATCCACTTTGTCTCATATATTTCTCTATTTTTTTAAGATAATTTTTCTGATAACAATAGGTATATCCAACAAATCTAATTAGCAATGATATTTTAGGAAGGACAACATATATTTATTACAAATAATTAACTTATTTTTTTAATCTACTCAAATTAATAAACTAATTTTAATATTTAAGACCAGAGGTGGTAGCATTTTTCCACAAAACATACTTTCCTGATCACATTTTTCTTATGCTCAAATTCCTTTGTCATTTTCTATATAACAAGCCCAATCTTAAAGGTATTTATAAGGGGGGGGGAAAAAAATATCATGCTAAGCCTCTGTTTCAGAACCGATGATTTTTTTGCTGTGCAGCAGAAAAATCAAATCGAATTTCACACTCATTATTCGACTGATACATCATCATCACTGAAAGAATCATTGGCCACATGCTACCTCCAGCATGAAAACAAGAAGCAGAACAACTGAATAAGAAACAAGAATTCGTACCAAAGTTAACCCCAAAAAGGAGGGGGAAAAACAAAAGGAAAATGATTTGATACCACTTTGCGCCAAAAGAACAGTAAACCAGAAGGTAGAAAGATAGAAAGAAGGAAACTTCCAAAATATTAACAATGGGCAATGGCAGATGTTCATAAAGTTTAAACACCAATAAATTCAAGACGACAATATATAAAATACATAATCAAAGACATAAACATATATCACAGAAGGATTGAGCTGTGTTATTAAATTTGCTGGAACCAGAGGCAACAAAGAGATGGATTATTATACACCGTCCATGAGCTTCCACCTAACGTGACAACTTGAGAAGCTCATATGATTTTTCACAATAGACCCCCTCCACCCTATTCTTGTCCTTATCATCCTACAATCAGCTTGCTTAGGTACACAATATATATGTATATAGTGAAATTTCATATAAAATTTCAGAAGGGTCACATCAAACAGGCTGTTATTTTTTAGAATTCAGTTTCTCTTCTGATTTTTGTCTCCCTCTAATCTCTGAAAGAAGATACTAGTACTGCGTATGGATACAAAGAGTACTGGCATCTAGCAATATGAGAACACAAAAGGAGACAAAGATCAGAAGAAAAATCTGAAACAGAGGATTTTAGATGTTTGATTTTAGAAGATGAGGTGCATGGATTTAATGAAGTTGAATTCAAAGCACCGATACTATTCTAAAGAAAGAATAGTATCAATTCTTTGCATTTAACTCCAATAATTTCAGATATCCTCAGATGATTCATGATCTGGATTACGTATTTCAATTAGCTGATTTAAACATTACTAAGCGCAAAAGAATGTCTTGAACTGACATTTTGATGAAATTGACTGTAACAGTAGCTTCGCTGTTTGTTCCTGTTTCACCACTGCTTCTTCTTTCTCAACCAATACCGCACCAACGATTTTCTGGTAGTCGCCGCCGCCAGCGACATAGGCCACCAAGGCCGCCTGTACTGGGCCCATGCTGGGGTTATACGCCGCCGATTCCATGTACGAACCTTTGTATATGTTACCGTTGGAATCCATCAGAGCCACCCCGGAGGGGGATCCACTGTATGGTGCATGAGATTTATTCGCAGCCTCTAAGGCCGCATACTTTAATTTCTCATTAGGGTGATACCCATTGTTACAGACGCCGGTGGGTGACTTGTTGATTTCGCCGGAGAAACGTAACCCATTGTGACGTGGCTCTAAGAGGAGAGGAGCATCGTCGGGGAGAAGATCGTGGGGACCGAATCGGTGGGAGAGAAACTTGGACAAGGGAGTGAAATCTTGTTCCTCATCGGAGGTGATGAGGATTTTGATATCAGGAGCGCCGCGAATTTCTTGGAAGAATTGGCGGCAATGGCCGCAAGGGGCGGCGGAAACGGCGAGGTAATCGAGATTGGTCTCGCCATTGATGAACATATTAGTGACGAGGAACTGTTCGGCGTGAACGGAGTGGTGAAGCGGTAGACCGGGGAACTCGAGGTTGACCCCGAAGAAGATTCGGCCGGAGGGCCCGACGCCGACGGCTCCGACGTCGAAATTGGAAATGGGGGTGCGAGCAAGGGTCTGAGCGGACTTAACGAGGGAAGGAAGGAGCTGTTTCAGATTGAGACCGGAAGATTTGGCCAAAGATTCGGCTTCGGACGCTTCAATCACGAAGCTACGATGATCCATGTTTTGATTCGGAGAAGAAATTGAAGAGGATTGTGCTTGTGGAAGGCTAACAGATAGAGAGAGAGAGAGAGAGAGAGAGAGAGACGAAGAATTTGTTTTTGCAGGAAATGGGATAGTTTGGAAGGAAGAGGACGATGAACGAAGCAATTTATAGAGGAAAAAAAGAGAGATCAGATCACAGTGCTGAGGCTTGTAGTGGAAATTCCAATTTTAAACTTATTTTTCAGTACGAAAGAAACGAAGGATGAATACGAAAATGGATACACTGTATGTGATGTGTTTTTTAGTTGAAAGAAAACGAAATCGTTATTATTATATAATATAATATTTTTGGGCCACAACTTTTGAGTATAATATTAGACGTTTGCTTCGGGGTAATTATCACTTATGATCAGCGTATGGATCTCTATATAATTTTTTATTAATAATTAATTGGTTCTCTCATGTGTGTTTCAAAGAAGGCTGGATGTTTGGAGTGTAAAAAGGGTTGGATCGGACGGAATCTAATGAAATCATTCCAAAATCTCATAAATGATTTATTTACATAATTTTTTTATATTTCATTAAATCATATTTTCCCTTAAGATCCATACTTTAAAAATAATTATATATTTAACAGTATTTAAATTTTTATTTTCCTATAATTTGGATATATACAAGGTGCAAGATTTTCTATATGTATAAAATAATATTTGTAGAAGAAGGAACCGCATTAAAAGTCTTATTAAGAATTGTAAGGGGGAATAGACCTTTGACCAACAAGAACTAAAAGGCATGGCAGGAGATTATTAGCAAGACCTTTTCAAAAGTAACATTATTGGTATATTTAGTCCGGTCAATACTCGTAAGTCATAATTAGTTCCCAAGATTGTTTATAAAGGAGAAGACGTACAAGATTCTAAGGTGATTAATGAGAATATCAAGTCATCAGCTTATGATTTAAGAGCCTTTAAGACCCCATCCTTACTCGTGATGGCATCTAACCTTTTCCTATCAGCGAGTTGAAGCATTTGGTTGGGGATTTTGTCTGTGAGATGATCAAAGATATCTTCAAGGATCCTTGGCGAATTAAAGCTCTCAATATACCACTAATATTGTTTCCATCCCTGAGATGGATAAGCAAGAAGTGTATGATAAAAGATTTCTTGCTGATATTCTTGTGTAATGTTAGCTACAAGATTGTTACGAAAATTATCGGCACAAGACTCAAAACAAGTATGGAGAAAGCAGTGAGCCACCGGCCAACCAACGATGTGGTTTCATCCAAGAAGGTAAAGTAGTGATAATAGTATCATGGGATAATTAATCTCCAGGTCCTTATAGTTTTATTTGATTTTTAATTAGATCTTTATAAAAAATTTTCTTTTTATCAGCTCCTTTTACTTTTGTGTGTTTTTAATTAGGTCCTTCTATTTTTTTTTCTTTTTATCAGGTCCTTATAGTTTCACTTATTTTTTAATTAGGTGCTTTGTAGTTTTGAAAAATTATTTATTAACTTTATTCTTTAAAATTAATTTCATTTTTAAATTAATAATTATATAATTGGACAAAATAATTAATATAATCATTTAGTAATTAATAAATAATCAGAATAATAATTATACTTAAATATAAATTATTTATAATCATATTTTAATTTTAGAAAAATTTATTATTATAATTTGAATTTTATAATTATAAAAATTTGAAAGAAAATAAATAATATATTTGTTTAACTAAAAATTTAAAAGAATATTAACATAAGATTGTTACAATAATTTATTATTTTTGAAATGTTATTATTTGTAAAATAAAAAATAAAAACTACAAGGACCTAATTAAAAACAAAGTAAAACAATAAGGACCTGATAAAAAAAAAAATTATAAGGACTTGATTAAAAATATATGAAAGTATAAGGACCTGATAAAAAAGAAAAAAAATTATAGGGACCTGATTAAAAACCAGTTAAAACTATAAGGACTTATATATTAATTATCCCTAGTATTATCATCCAAGAAGTTATCCAAAAAAAAAAAAAGGGATGGACGGCAGTTAAGGTAGGTATTGAAAAAATTTACGATTGCCTTGAATAGGCATTCATCATAAACACACTCAAAGCAGTTGGGATTAATGACAAATTGTTTGATGTCATCAAGGCTTGTATTTTCAATACCCTTCTTTTAGGATAATATGGAACAATGAAGCTATGCAAAAATTTTGTCCCTCCAAAAGTCTTCGGCAATAGAACCCAATTTTTTTTAAAAAAATATTTTTATGTTTTTTTATGGAACGAATTAATCACGTTATTAAAGATGCGATTGATGATGGTCCATGGGAACTTATTCATCTTGGCTCTATTATTAGCCCAATTTTTCTTTGAAAATGATCTTATTGTCTTTGGTGAAGCCTCTTCTAACCAATAAGAGATGGTGATGGATTGCTTCAAGCTCTCTTGTGAAGCCTCAGGACAAAAAATGAACAGAACTAGTATAAAAGTAGCTCAGGACAAAATATTGGCAAGGCTAAGACAAAAGTACGTTTTTCAAAAGATGTTCAGTTTTCCAAAGCCATGGATGAGTCAAAGAATGGGAGTAGAATTAACAAGACATAGACAAGTATCTTAGAATCCCACTTATTCAGAAAAGGGCCTCTCATATTACTTTTGCTCCATTGATAGAAAAAAGTTAGAAGAAACTATTGGGATGGAAACAGAGTTGCCTTGGTGGGGAGGGCTACTTTGATTAAAGTTGTTCTATCCATTCTTACCGTATGAAAACCATGCTTCTCCCTAAACGTTTGCTAGAAGGCTTGGAAAAGAAGAGTAGAAGCTTTGTTTGGGGGAAAATTGATGCAGATACCATACTGCATCTTCTTTCGTGGGATCAAATTACTGAAGATGAGAATGAGGGAGGTTTGCAAATTAGGAAACTGTGTAAAAAAATATAAGGCTTTCATTATGAAATTATGTTGGAACTTGCTTACCAATAGAGAGGCCTTGTGGGTTCAAGTCTTGAGAGCTAAATATAAGTGCAGAAGTTGCCCTCAAGAAACAAAATTCTTCACATGGTTAGAGGGGCATCTGTGATGTTTGAACAAATTTAGAAGAGAAAGTGGTACACTAAAAAAAAAAAAGAACTGTGTTTTACAACGGTCCAAAATAACTACTGTAATGAACGGCTGGCAACACATGGCAGGATCAGTTATTGCTGACATTAATAGTGGTTCAGGGAAAAAAATTGCTGCAAACGAAATTAAAAACAAAACATTTGTTTAACATTTTTAATATATTTTGGAATGCTAAATTTTTTTAATATTATATCATTTTTATATTACGTATGTCATAATACAATCAAAATGTCTGACATTTAAACTTTTTATTTACTTTTAATAGTGTGAATTAATATAATTTAAAATTTATTTTTGGTATTTTATTTTCATTTACAATAAGTCACACATAATTAAAAAATATTTTTAAATATTTTTATTATATTTAAATTAATATATATTTTTATTTAAAATAACCTCAAGTAGACCTGATCTGATCTGCTACGCCTTAATCCGCCATCTTGATTAGTTCAATGATGAGTCCTATTTTTATTTCCTTACAAATAACTGCCAATATTTTTTAATACAGGAGGGTTGCTCTTCAAGCTACTCTCCATATTATAGTTAACCAATAAGACAAAATTAATGTTAAATTACTTATATTTATTAGATTAAGTTTATAGGTTAGTTTATAAGTGCACATATATCAAGCTACTCATTTATTTTAATTTGCATAAAAATATGAAAAATTCTATGATAGTAATTAGGAGTAGCCATCTCAAAAGCATTTTATATAAAAATATAGTTTTCCATTATAAAACCAAAACAAACTGACTTAAAATCGTAGGCGTCTTAACTTTGACTTGCTTATTAAAAGTTTGGAACGACAAAGATTCACGGTTCACAACTACCTAGCTTTCTTTTCTTTTGTTTAACTCAACTGATCCCTTTACTGTACAAATTCTAAAAAGATGTAATTATCATTTAAGACCCTATGGCCACGTTCGAATTAGAATTGAGATTAGGATTCGGATCGAGATTGCAAATGGGATTGGGAATGGGATTTTAAAATTAAGTTGGTACAAGATAATATATGGGGATTTTATATTAATTTCATTATTTTATAATTAGTTATAAATTACGCAAAGACTTATATCCTTATAATAAATAAAAATAAGAGTTTGTAACTATTATTTTTTGAAAAAAATTATTTTTATTTTTATTTTTTACTTTTATTTAAACAGTCCAGATTTAATTTCTTTTTAATTTTATTTTTTAAAATAATTATTTTTTAACTATTATTTTTTCAAAAAATTATTTTTATTTAAAAATAATTAATTATAAAATTTAAATATTTGCTGTCCAAATTAGATTTAAATAATTCAGATTTGATGAGCTTAGAGTGCTCATAATCTTGATGAGCATCAAATTAGGTATGGGACTAGTGATACTGAGTAATCTCATTTAGGAGGTGATACTGCATAGTTTCAAGTATTGTGTTTCATACCAAACATGTTAAAATGAATTATGTTAATGCTAATCCCAACCCCTAATGTTTTATATCAAGCGGAGCCTATTTAAAGTGGTCCAATTCCTCCAAGTATATAAATTTTCTACATTCCTCCTCCAATTTTTTTAAAATTTTGATAATGCCATATAATTGCTGCAAGCTTATAAGAGGTTTTTTTCCCCCCTATAAATTATGTGTTTCGTGTTGCTTCTATTGTGACATCAATCATTAAATTTTTGTAAATCTATGAACCAAGCCAATGTTACCCCACCTTACCTAATCTGTCCTCAACCAAAAATCTTTTAGTTTACACACACGCGCACATTATTCTACATAAATAATGAATTTTGTTAATGGGTTATCTCAGAAATAATTACTAAGACTAAAACAGATTTAATTATATGGGCAAAGTTTTTTTTTAATGGTAAACCTTATGGCTAAAGTTCTTTAAAGTCAGAGATTTGTTTTTTTGTATATATTAATCTGAATGCAACTACAACATGTTTTTGTTGTGGAGGGCTTTAACTTGCTTTTACTGTGAGATCTTAGATTGATAAGATTCATAAACAAAATCTTCATTAATTAAAACACAT